CAAAGTGCAGTTTCTCCTGAATACCACAAGCAACAATGCAAGCATGTTCAGGATGCGGTTCTCACCCTCGAAATGCAAAATGTTGCTTCAGGAATGGCTTGTGATAGGGAGTGAAGCAGTTGAGCATGTTGACAGCTTCATTTATTTTAGGAGTCTAATCAGTGCCGATGGCCTGGTGACTGACGAAATCTCAGCACGGATACAGAACGCTTGACTGGCTTTTGCCTACCTGCGTCACTTATGGCGTAGATGAGGTATGTGTTTGCTGCCTAAAGGACGAGTGTACTGTGCATTAGTTTGCTCCGTCCTACAATACGGCTGCGAAACATGGTCCGTCAGAGTAGAAGATATTAGAAGGTTGCTTGTTTTAGATCATAGGTTTGTATGAACTATTGCCCGTGTATCAGGGGACAACCAAATAAGCGATGCTATTGTTAAGAAACGGGTGCTAGGGAGGGATGACAGGTCAGTAGATGAAGTATTGAAACTACATCAGTTGAGGTGGTTGGGACATGTGTTGAGTATGCCTAACCACCGACAGCCTCGTCGACGTATGAATAGGTTAGAAGAAAGCTAGTGTCAGCCAAACCAAAACATGACACAAATCAATGAAGTCATTGACAACTGGATTGAGTCACGTTGGTAGGTGTCCACTACCTGGTTGGGGTCCGCTAGACGAGTCACCGATGTTTAGAGACATCCACTCTATGTTCTTTCAAATTCTGACCTGAATTCATCATCGCCTATCTTTCTCTCTTTAAATTAATCTCACTGACTTATACTTCATGAATAATATCTCCCAATCCTAAAGTCTTCGATTATTGTTAATATTGCTACTGCCTCTACTACTATGGGATTTGAATAGACTATTGCATCTCTGTGCTTATTTGGTATGGCGAATTGAAATGATGTACCTACGTACGAAGTTCTACATTTTAACTAATTCGCTTTATGTAATCAGAGTTAGTAAAATGCTCTATTGTAGTATAGGAAGAAGTCAAGACCAGATAAATTATTATATATATATATATATATATATATATATATATATATATATATATATATATATATATATATATACAAATTACGTACCGTCTTTTTAGCAGTCTCCACAGTATCAGTATTCCTTGATGTCCATTCAATATACCAAACCCATTCCTGATTGGGACTAATCAATATATATAATCTCTAAACATACTGCTTAGTTTATATATCCCGCATTTACTCTGTTATTGTACAACTCGAGTGAGTATATTCCATCTGCAATCTTGCTATCTATAAATGGAAGGAGAGATCACTACGACTCCCGCTAGTATCCATAATTATAGATTATATCTCTACAAAAGCACATCCTAACAACAAGCCATTCAAAATCATAATACATCAATCAAACAAAATATCACTGATTCGTATAATGATTGTATATACACTTGATTGTCACACTGAGAAAAAGAAAGTTCACACTTATCATAACTGAGTAGAATTAAACCATTTGATTGATACAAACATATCAGATTAAAATTATGTTATACTTTAGAATAAATACAGTAATTAATACCTTACTGACAAAAAAAAACATGTTTTACTAAGATTCAATGCTATGCTGGATTAAAGAAAACGTGAATTCACCTTTCTATTTCAACTTATATATTACAAGTTACACACATACATATATTAACTATGTTGTTTAAGTGGTCAGACATCCACGTGATCATTCACTCACTCACCACCTGATTGTCAATAACATGTGTTAGTAGTAATCTAACTTGATTATTGATAAAAAGCGTTAGTGAACATTGTTTCATAGTTTATAACGAGAATTAAACTTAGATAATCTGAGTTCAATTGTCTACGCAGTTGTGGATGTACATTGTTGAGGAGTCTTATACTTGGAGAAAGCAAATATTCAATGGTTTCTAAATTTTAGTAATTATCTATTTAAGGTTAGTTCTTCAGATTAACTTAATTAGTTATGAGTTTCTATCGTTAATCATGGATGTGTGAGATTGAAGCTCTTGGATACGGTTCACGTATTTCAGGCTGTCAATGCTGGGACGAAACTATCATTTAGTGCTTCCAAACTTCCAATGGTGCTGGTCCAATATAGATTAGTTCATGATCTTAATGGAAATTAATATCATATTTATAAACTTGTTTTTCCAACTAAATCTATTAGCTTCGTATTTATTCAATACTGAAGACATAAAAACCTAACGCACATATGGTTAACTTTTTAACATTCAATCAGTTTGATACAATCACACAATTACCCAATCTACTTAATATATCGAATTCAATGAACAAAAGCTACACCACTGCACAATAATAATAGCTCAACGGTAACATTTCACACTGTTGGGCAGAATGACCAAGGTTCTAGTTCCGTGTACAGAACCAGTTACACCCAAACTGAAGGTATGTCTCGCTGATGAGTGCTAAACCCGTGTCCAAAGACTCCTTGCAACTACCTAATTTTAGCTTCAAGATCATAAACTGTAGCTCGTTACAAAACCTGTCTTCAATACTGAATAGTACGTAGAATCCTATCAGTTTTAAGAGAAACTGCTTTCACTTTCCCACTAATGTTAAGTCACTCAAACACCAGCTAGGGGCAGCCAAACCAAAACATGGCAGAAATCCATGAAGTCACTGACATGTGGACTGAGTCATGTTGGTAGATGTAGACTACCCGGTTGAGGTCAGCGAGACGATAGTCACCGATGGTTAGAGACCTTGAACGACATGGCCCAGAATCGGTTGCAATGGCGCAGGTGCATCCACTCCTCGTGTTCTATGAAATTCTAAGCTTCTGCATTCCTCATAATCTCTACCTTTCTTCTTTTAAATTTATCTTACTGAATTGTACTTCTAGAATCATATCTTCGCTCCCTAATCTTCTCCATTACTGCTAATACTTCTATTATTGCTATATCACTGTTGGATTTGAACTGACAGTTGCGTCTGTGTGCTGATGGGGCATGGCAACTTGAAATGATGTACTTACGTACGAAGTTCTGTGTTGTATCTGTCTGTCTGTCAAACACCAGCATGTAAATTGTAATGTGACCGGTAGAATCTACTCAGTACTAATACCACTTGACAAATGTCATGTTAGTTGACTATTCAATGATCAATTTGTACAAATCGTGAAATCAAGTTTTTTTCCTGTCAAAATAGGAAATTATCGATTTCACCTTTAAAATTTTTATTATTGGAAGTAACAAATCAGTCAATATGATTAAAAATATTTCAATTGTAATTGACAACAGCTGTTATTTTGAAAAACTATAGTGTGGTTGGTCTATGGTGATGACCGAAATAATTTATATCGATCGGGACACTTGTTTATTTGGTAGATTGTTGGAAATACAATAAAACTAACAGAAGTATACCAAGGTTCGAAATAGAATTCGAAGTGATGACTGTACCAGGACAATCAGTATCGAAAGTGATGCTGTCTTCTCATAACAGGAGAAAAGAATTCAAATGGTGGAGCCTGAATATACCTCACCTCATATTGTCTCGTCACTTATAGCGTAGGTGGGATATCAGTCTACTAACCAAAAGACGAGTCGATTCTACTTCGCGTGTGTGAAACAAAGCTACTAAGGACAAGGGATATTCATAGGTCACTAGTATTCGATCACCGGTGTCTCCGAAATATTGCTCATGTATCATGGGACAACCGAATAAACAATGCTAGGGTTAGAAAACGGATATTAAAGTAAGGATGGCAGATCAATAGATGAAGTAGTGAAACTTCATCAGTTGAATTAGTTAGGACATATCTTACGTAAACCTAACCACCGACTACCTCGATGAGCTGTTTTGTGGTGTAGGAGTAGGTTGGAAAAAAGTTAGGGGTGGCCAGACCAAAACATTGCACAAATCCATGAAGTCATTGAAAACAACTGGATTGAGTCATGTTGGTAGGTGTCGACCACCTGCTTGGAGTCCGCGAGACGATACTAGCCAATGGTTAGAGATATTGAATCAAATGGCTCAAAATCGTTTGTAATGGCACAGGTACATCCACTCTTTGTGTTCTCTCAAATTCCAGTCTTCTGAATTTCGCATCATGACCTTCATGGTTCTCTTCTCGAATTCATCTCCACTAGATTATCATTTCCTTGAATAAGTTCTTCGGACCGTGATCTTTCCCGATTACTGCTCATACTTCTACCTACTACGGGATTTAAATTGAAAATTACATCTCTCTCTCTCTCTCTCTGCGTTACTATGGTATGAAAACTTGACCTGAACTGAACTATACTTACTTACTTACTTACAAAGTGTTCTACGTTGTAGCTCAGCGGAACTGACATGTCTTTGAGAAAATTTCAATCACTTGTTGCATAGTTTAATAACCAAAACAAAAGTGATAACCACTCACTCACTCACAGATCATCAAAAAGTATTTCAGATCATAATCTGATTGATTGATTGACTGACTGATTGATTGATTGACAAATAACAAACACACAGCCGAAAGTAACAACAACAACACCAATGATGATGATGAATAATAACAGTGGATTAGATAACAAACAATAATAGACCGTTCGTTCTCTATATATGTATATATATATATAAATGTATATATGCGCATGAGTAAAAAGTAACTAAATACTCACACATAGTAGCATTATTACAAATAGTAAGTAAGTTAGTTAGTTAGTTAGTAAGTGAGAAGCATGTGAACAGTTAATTCACACACACAGAGAGAGAAAAGACATAGAAAAAAACAGAGAGAGAATTGGAGAAAGAGTGGGAGAGAGAAAAATAATAGTTTGTTTTATATTTTAGAAATTACTGTGCAAGTTGTTGTTGTTGTTAAATTAGATTAATAATAAAATTTATAATAGTAATAGTAATAATAATAATAACAGTAGTAATAATAATAATAATATTAATAACAATGTAAATAGTAGTAGGTAGATTGATAATGATAATAATAATAATTAAAAGAAATGATTATTGTGTTTTGTTTTTATCTTTTTTTAAAGTTTTCTATTCGTTGATAAAATAAAATTAGGCGGCTTAGATGAATTTAGAATGGAATTATTGTTATTATTATTATTATTGGGACTATCATTACTATTACTACTATTAAGCGTAGCAGTAGTATTTGTATGAGTGTTAGTAGCAGTAGTAGTAGTAGAAGAAGAATTGGTATTGGTAACAGTACTAGTAGAAGTAGTCGTAGTAGAGACGGTAGCAGCCGTAGTGGTAGCAGTACTAGTACTAGTAGAAGCAGTACTATTCATACAATCATTGTTATCAATGTTGACCAGGGTTGAATTGTTATGATTATGATTAGTACCACTAGTACTACTACTACTACTAGTACTAACCGCATTATTATTACTATTATTATTATTATTATTATTGTCTGATTGTACTTGACATTGTACAGCAGCGGATCGTAGCGAACAAAGACAATTAGTTTGTGACGATGATGCTAACGCTGCATTGATACCATCATCGAAACCGTCATCACGTTCTTCATTACCAGTAGCTGGTCGTGCAAAATCCCATATCAATATAGTATCATCATGTGAAGAGGAAACAATTTGAAAATCATCGAATTGTAAACGAAACACACGACCAGTATGCTGTTGTAATGTATGAATACATAATTGATTTGGTTTGGAACGTGGATTGAGAGCAGCTTTTAAATTCCATACTTTAATTTTACTGCAAGAAAACAAAGGAATCATATAGAATGATTGATAAATATACTATCAAAAATGTTATAAAAAATGATAAGGAGTTTCTTATTATTGAAAGATAACAGGCGAATCAATTCTTCAGTTGACTAGTGTTTCATTACGTGGTGCAATGAACAAAAAGACATCACAAGCCCAGACAGACAGATACAACACAGTACTTCGTACGTATGTACAACAGTTCAGATTGTCATAGGGCATTAGTACAGAGACGCAATTGTCACTTCAAATCCCACAATGGTAGCAATAGTAGAAGTATTAGCTAGCAGTAATGGAGAAGATTAGAGCATAATTCAGAGAGATAAAGATAGAGATTATGAGGAATTAAGAAGGTTAGATTTTGAGAGAACACAAAGAGTGGATGCACTTGCGCCATTGCAAACGATTTTGAACCATGTACTAACCATCAATGACCTACATCTCGCGGACCCCAACCAGGTAGTCGACAATTACCGACATGGCTAAATCCACTCATCAATGACTTCATGGATTTCTGCCATGTTTTGGTTTGGCCACCCCTAACTTTCTTCCAACCTACTCCTACACCACAAAACATAGCTCGTCGCGGCAGCCGGTGGTTAGGCATACGTAACACATGTCCCAACCACCTCAACTGATGAAGTTTCATTACTTCATCTATTGGTCTGCCATTTTTACCTAGCACTCGTTTCATAATAACAGCGTTGCTCACTCGGTTGTCCCACGATATACGAGCAATGCTTCGGAGACACCTATGATCGAAGACAAGCAATCTACGAATGTCCTCAACTCTCACCAGGCATGTTTCGCATCCGTATAGTAAGACGGAGCGACCTACTCCATAGTACACTCGTTCTTCGATTAGTAAACGGATATCTCGACTACGACATAAGTGACGCAAGTTGGCAAAAAGTCAATCGAGCCTTCTGTATCCATGGTGAGATTTCTTCAGTCACTAGACCCTCTGCACTGTTGAAACTCCCGAGATAAGTGAAGCGGCCGACACGCCTGACTACTTCACTCCCTATCACTAGTTCAGGTGCCGATACAAGCCAATCTTGAAGCAACATTTTGCATTTCAACGGGGAAAACCACATCCCGAACATGCTTGCATTGTTGCTTAGGGTTGTCAGAAGACTCTGCATTTTGTCAACGTCTTCACCGAATAGAACTGTCATCGGCATATTCTAAGTCAGCAAGCGTGTCTCCTGGTAAAAGGTCCACTACTGAAGAACTAGACGATGATAATGTCAACTCTAGAAGCATATCTACGACAAAGTTAAACAAGAATGGGAAGAGTGGACAGCCCTGACAGACACCACTTGAAGTAACTAATTCCAGTGATGTCCGTCCGACCAGTACACCTAATCCTCGGACTTTTATTTGCAGAACAAGTAAATTATTGACTAGCGCCATTAACTCTAGTATAATAAACGAGAAGACATCACAAGACCAGTACACCTAATCTGCAGACTTCTATTCGCAAAACAAACAGATTACTGATTGTCTACTTTCATAGGTCTGCTGGCCTTCTATAAATTTTGACTGCGCTTTGTATTTTAATCTGACACTTTTCTTCCTAATAGTAACTTCTGAGCGACACTCCGCTGCATACTACTTAGGAACTACTTTGCTAGTAGTATTGATTAGACTAGTATAAATGCCAGAGCACTGCCAAATGACTACCACCTACCTAACTAACATCAAATACGTCTTAATACAGCGGGCGTGAACAATCTCAGTATACATAAGACTATCGGTGGTGATACTGCGATTCGATCGATAAGATTCCATTTGTACTAAAGAATTTCAGTCGGTCAGTTAGTTAGTTACAACGTACAACTTCGTACGTAAGTACATTAGTTTTAGGTTGCCATACCATATTAGCACAGAGACGCAACTGTTAGGATTTTGACAAACATTATAAGATTCTATTCTATTCTTCAAATACTATAGAAAACTATTCGACTAGCACACCCAAAATCAAAAACACAGCTTGAATGAACAGGGATCATAGTAATAAACAAGTTAGTATATATTCATAATCATTACACAAGAATATTCTTGAGCTGACCAACTAAGAATGCGTTAATCAATGCGATAGAACATAATGGAAAACATAATCGAAACGCTTCAATTTAATCCGTGTCCTGCTAACAATTGATCACTTACTATGCAGTGATTAATCAATAATTATTATTATGTGCTAAAAGTTAATATTTTCCGTTAACTGTTAGCAGTACAATACAATTTGGTAGGAGAATGCTAGTCGGGAGCCTATGTTCTGTTACGGGTAACAGCCGGGAGTATATGAGTTAAAGTGTGTGTGTGCTTTTATGACGAGTCCATAGGGTTTGGTTTTAAGCCTTCAGACAACTTAACTCATTCATTCATAAATACAACTTCCGACAATTCCAATTATTCGCTAATAATCTTGGTTGTTTTTATTCAAGTGCGTGTATGAGCAAGATTGCTTCGTTTATCGCATGTGTTGGCTAAATTTTGTCTGACTATAAATGCTTAGTCATATGTCATTGCATTGAGTTGGCTCGCCCGACTTCTCCACTTAGCTTCACTTTGCTTGGTATTTTCTCTCATGTCTGTCTGTATGAATGATTGTTTGAAATAAACTCATCCAACCTAATCTGTACTTCGCTTTTTATTACCGCCGTCGCACAAACGGGTTTCGCTTAAGTATGTGATATAGACGGCAACTGAAGAGAAGATTTATTTCATCGCATATCTAACTCTTTTCAAATACTGTAGTCATTGCGGGTCACTAAAGAAGTGAGCACTACGTTGAGTTCAATGCAGCCCACAAAAAAAGTAACGCAACACAGGATTCGTATGTTACACTAGTTATTAAGATATATCATTTCGCTTACAATGGACAAAAACAAAGTATATGACTGAACTATCAACTGAGCAATGGGGTTAAAATTAAGCATAGATTTACTGTATAACACAAACAAGTTAGGTAAGTCAATGAATGAAGTTATCATTCTGAACGGTATGGCACATACCCCACTATGCATTCCTAGTTGTTAATATTTGTTCATTTTTTCATAGATGCCCACGGTTCTTCAATTCCCTGGTACAATTGAGAATCAGAAGAGTTTGTCTTCTCATGACACAGGTGTTGTTTACAAAAGTTAAAACGACGAAAAGTCAATATCCAGTCCTTTAACCAAATGGGTGTGTATAGACTGATCCACTGAGATATATTGAGGAAATCTCACTCCAAACTAATAATGCACACAGCTACAGGTGTTCCTGATGGAACAAAAGGTGCAGGAACCTATTATCGGTCAACGAACTACCATAGGACAGCATCTCCTGATGATGCTCCATGTACCTGAAGATTAACCATTTTGGTAAATAAATGGCTTAAAGAACGGCAACCTACGGAAACGACCTCGGTGAGTTTGGGGACCCAGTCAGTAGTATCTCAGTCCACTTAAAAATTCAATAATTTGTGTGGCACATAAATCTCCCCCACCCGCCTTTGTACCAATGTTTACGGCTTCAAACAAATGAAGTAAAAATCTTTTCACAAACACTTCAATTACTTTTCTTATACTATTGATTTATTGGCTTCAATTATTTATTTACACGAGAATATTATTGATTGTATTACACTTACTACAACATCGATTGTTCTTTACGAAAAAAAATAATTTTTTTTTTCATATAGAAAAGAACATATTCTCAGTCAATGAGATATGAATGAATATAAGGCAAAAACACGTTTGATAAAAAAAGAGAAATACGTGAAACATTTTTGAAACCATGAATCGATCAATGTTTGTAGACCACCATTAGTAAAAACCTGGAAGCACTGGACAATGACCGTTTCGTCCTGGTATGGGACTACTCATCAGTAGTGCGCATCCACGACTCCTGCACCCCGCAGGATTCGAACCCAGGACCTTCGGTATTGTAGGCGAACGCCCTAACCGACAGACCACTGAGCCGGTATCTAACGGTGTTAATATCTAACTTGATCAAATTCATGGAGTTGCGCAACCTCATACACAGTCTTCGGTAGTAGTTACTGTCTACACTCGAACAGGTTGAACTTCACTGGTCACGTCTTACCACTAGAACTCGGAGAAGATTCCTCACGAAGCTAGTCACTAGTGAGCACAACCCCGTAATGCAAATACGTGAAAGGGTTAAAAAAACATACAGTGAATTACTGTTTTGATTATGACTTCATGTTGGTTTCCTTGTAATAAAAAATTGATACTCATCGACAGAGATAGTTAGGTGATGTAGTACATTTCGCTAGTATCCGAATAAGTTGGAAGTAGGTGGTTAGAGGCGGACACTCTGGGATATGATATTAGTTTATGAAGTGTTAATGAGAGTGAGACTCAGATATACGAGGTCCGCGAGTTGATAGTAATCGATGATTAGGAGACCTTAAACGACATGGCTCAAAAGCATTTGCAATGGCGCAGGTGCATTCATTTCATTATGTTCTCTCAAATTCTAACTTTCTGAATTCCTCACCACCTATATCTTTCTGTTTCTTAAGTTATCTTACTGAATTATATACTTCTCGAATCATATTTTCGAACCCTAATCTTCTCCATTACCAATAATACTTTACAATCTGTACCACTATGGGATTTGAACTGACAGTTGCGTCTCTGTGCTGATCGGGTATGGCAACCTGAACTTATGTACTGAAGTAAGAAGATATACGTTGTAAGTGACTGACTGACTGGATAAAAGTAGTCTAGCTAAATAGATCATGCTATTTTCGTTATTCACAGCTAGAGAACTTAGATGGTTTGGCTTCAGAATCAATAGCATTAATGCAAAAGCACTGACACTTCACCTTCCTTTAAATAGTGAGTTTTAAAATGGCACAAAATCGTTCGCAATGGCGCCAGTGCATTTATTCTTTGTGTTCTCTCAAATCCTAATCTTCTGGATTCTTCAACACCTCTAGTTTCGACTCTCTAAACTTTTCTCACTGAATCATGCTTCTTGAATAGTATCTTCTAATCATAACCTCTCCGATTACTTCTAATTCCCTTACTACCTCTTCTACTATTGGATTTGAATTGACAATTATATCTCTGTGCTGATGTGGTATGGCAACATGAACTGATGTACTTACGTACGAGGTTCTACGTTGCATCTGACTGACTGAAAATTATCTTATTACATTTTGTACAGTAAATTAATTGTTTTTTTTTACTTCTAGAGTCCTCTTGTTTATACCGGATGTTTTCGACTTCCGTTGAAAATGTCACTGCTTTAAACCAGTTGAGAATTTATCTTAAAAATTTTGTTTCCTTGTGTTCGTATACTGTGACAACTCAAACCAGTTAGTCAGTTAGTCAGTCAGTCACAACGTAGAACTTCATACGTTGGTACGTCAGTTCAGGTTGCCATACCACATTAACTAGTAACCTAAAAATATCTTCTACTCTTACAGGCCAACGGGAATATGTAGCAAGTATTATGCTGCTTGGTTTTATGGTTAGTGTTTTTTAAAGAGTTAGTTTTCTACGGGATGGGATGCCTAGGACCACAGTTAGACCCAAAGAGGCTTCAGGTGCTGCTCAACACTGCTTAAGACTAACTGATTATCTTTGAGGAGATTTATAATAGATGGGAAAACTTTTCATAAATTGTGCACAATATAATAATATTAATAATAATAATAATAATACTTAGTATATTACAACACTCACCCATCATATGCCCCTGATACAATACGTTTAGAATCAAATCGAATACATCGAACTAGTTCTTCATGTCCTTCAAGAACTCTAAAACATACACCAGTTTCAATATCCCAAATACGAATTGTATTATCCGAACTACCAGACACCACTAATCGATCACGATATTGTAAACAAGCAATACCTCGACGATGACCTGTCAAGGTACGCACATAAGCACATGTATCTGTAGCCCAAACCTAGAATTATTTAGAAATATATTAAAACAAATAGAAAAGCGGAATTAAAAAGATTCGAGTTTAGCTATATATAATATATAATAATATGAAAATAACCCAACTGTAGCTGCTACCTTGACGTAGTGGTCGGGTGCGCCTATCGTCATGACCCAACCGAGCTATATTGGCTGGAACTTATGTTCCTGAAGGTCCTACCATGCCAGGCAGGTCGATTGGAGAGCGACGAGACTAAAAGCAGATACTCAAGGTCTGAGGGCGAAGTCGTACTGCTGACTACTGCAGAGGGGTGTGACAGCAGTAAGGTGTTTCCCTCGGACAACCAGCATCTGCAGCGATGCTGCCTTCTCACAAGGAAGGAAGGGTTAGAAAAGGTCGACCCTAGAAATGTCACACCTCACCTTACCTCACAGATTCCCGTCTCCTTGAGTAAGGGTGCCCACTAAGGGTTTTCAAGTGCAGAGCTAACACTCAAAAAACTTCTCATAAAAAGGCCGTGCGTTACCGGCCTCAAGCAGTTGTCCCTCGGGCTCTGCGCTCACGCACCCAGGTCTCTAAGACCAACACTAATCTATCTTCCTTTTCAGGTCCCTCAAGAAACAACCTTCCACGGTGTGGGCAGCCGGGAAGTGACAACCGCCCGTAACAGCAAATCGTCATGACCCAACCAAACCATATTGGCTAGGTCTTACCATCTGACGCAGGTCGATAGGAGAACAGTAAAACTACAAGCAACAACTTAATGTCTGAGGATGAAGTCGCACTACCTACTGTAGACGGGCTGTGACAAGAGTATGGTGTTTCCTTCGGACAACCAACATGTAAAATGATGCTGAAAGGAAGGGGTTAGAAAAGGTCGATCCTAAACATATCACACTTCAACTTACTCCACATATCTCCCTCCCCGGCGGTAGGGCCTCTTGAAGAACGGAGTTAACACATTAAAAAATACCCATAAAAAAGTCGTGCGTGACCGGTCTCAAGTAGATGTCTCTTGAGCGAATCAAACGCCTTTCACAGGCTCCTCTCCTCAATAAACACCATGCTACGATGTAAGCAACCAAGAAGAGACATCCGACCTCATAGGTTACGGGTTTTCGATCATAGGTGTCTGAGATGCATTGCACGTATATCGTGGGACACCCAAGTGAGCAACGCTGTTATTAGGAAACGGGTGCTAGGTGAGAATGGCAGATCAATAGACGCAGTAGTGACATTTCATCAGTTGAGGTGGTTGGAACATGTGTTACGTATGCCCAACCATCGACTGACTCGTCGAGCTTTGTTTTGGATTGTTCAACATCTCTAGTTTTGACTTTCTAAACTTTTCTCACTGAATCATCTCCGATTACTTCTAATACCTTTACTACCTCTTCTACTATTGGATTTGAATTGACAATTACATCTCTGTGCTAATGTTGTGGTATGGCAGCATGAACTGATGTACTTACGTACTTACTTCTACGTTGCATCTGACTGACTGACTGACACAATGAATGATAAAATTAAACAACAAAATCAATAATATAAATATAATAAAATTATTTACTTTGATTGTACGATCACCACTAGCTGAAACAATATATTTATCATCAAAATCAACCACATTAACAGCAGCTCTATGTCCAACAAGAACTTGACGCAGCTGAACATCTTTTGGCCAAGGACCCATATCCCATACTGCAATACTACGATCCTAGAAATTTTGTCATAACAACAACAACAAAAAGTAAAGAAACAATATTAAAAGTTTTTTTTTAAAAAAAATGAATTTTTGAATATGATAAGGACTAAGAAAAAAAACATGACACACAGTTGTTGCTAAACTACATCGGTACAAATAGAAGAATTTATAAAGACATAGTAGTAATAGTAGTGTAGTGAAGGAGAACACAGGTGGGGGCAACCGAATTGTACTGAACGAAAATTACAGAGTTACTCAGTAAAATTGGAAAACCACATCGTAAATCGTTAATTTGCAAAATATCAGTTCATCATCATATCGAACTGAACTGTTCCTGTTGCAAAACATCAATCCATTGTCACTATTCATGCGTTTCATACAAATTCCATTGTTTTCTAACTCTTCCTTTCTTGATCTTCCCCCATCTTCGGCTGCCAGACATTACGTTTACACTCACGTCATATACTACTTATAAGTAGCTCGCACCACAGTAGTAGTAGTAGTGAAAGGAGACATTCAAAAGTTTGTTTTTGTATTGCAAGTGGATTTTTGGCAGATTAGTTGTGCAAATTTGATAAACTGTTTTCCCTAAATCTATCATTATTGTCCATTTGGTCTTGACATCTTAGCTCATCACATTTGATGTCATGGTGAATAGACAGGAAGGAGGTAGGTAGTTCTGGCGGACACTGTTGCGGTATCATACATCGGATGGACATGGCATTCGGATGGAATGGTATCCCGTTCGTTGAACTCGATAGTTAGCCGAACTAAGGATTATTCATATTACATTTGGTAATGATGATGAAAACGAGGTCTTTTCATTGCAGTTTTTGAAATTAATTTCAAGTTGCATAACATGAAACTACAACTTGACAAGGTTCTCAATGATTGTTAGCAGTCTGTGATGATGACAGAGTGATAGACATGTTGGAGATGGAACTTGACTCAATGTTGACTTATAAATTGTGATATTTGATTTTTCAATCGTCGTATGGTCGATAATTTTAACATGAATAAAATGAAGAAATTACAATCACCAAAGAAAGAGGAGGATGAAAGCAATTAACTGATCAAAAATAACAATGATCATTATCAAATGAAAACGAATTAAAAAAACGATCCAAAGTCTAGGCATACCATACCATACCATATCATACACATGACTATTAAGTGAACTGACTTGTTCAATACGTATTAAATGATTTTTATTGAAAATGGAAAACCAAAGTTAACACAATCAATCAATCAATCAATCAAATCAAGAAAAACGTTAAAAACTTCGTACATACGTACGTACATAAGTTCAAGTTGTCATATCATATCCCATATTGGTAGAGGTATTAGAAGAATTAACACAGTAATCGGAGAGATTACGTTTCGAAAATATTATTCAAGAAGTATAATTCAGTGAGATAACTTTCGAAAGTGAAAGATAAAGGTGATGAGGAATTCAGAAGATCAGAATTTGAGAGAATACAACAAGTCGATGAACCTGGGCCATTGCAAATTATTTTGAGTCATGTCGCATAAGGTCTCCTAACTCGCTGACCCTACACACACAGGTAGTCCATTACTTGCCAACATGACTCAATCCAATTGTTGTCAGTGACTTTTTATACAGCAGTTGTGCCATAATGCCATGATGTCAAGGAAACTTTAAATAATAACAAAGGCATCCGACAAAAAAAACATTGTAAAAAAATAATGTAAAGTATATTCATAGCGGAAATTATCGACAAATGTTTTTTTGCTTTGCCATCTTAATTATTTTATACTCTTCTTACTACAACATAACTTTATCCGAGACTGACCTACTATTACTACTACTACTACTACTACTACTACTTGTTGGGCATATCAGATCCCCAGAACTCGCTTGATAAATATCTTTATTTTGGATTTGTTTCATAGACCGATCGGTTGACCTTGAGATCATACTTCCCACCAAGAAATTCCTTGGATGTGATTGGTTACTGTATCATTTTAGTGTGCTATTTTTGTGACTATCCCAAAGACATCTCTATATAGAGTATAAATAAACGCAATTTGAGTGCTTGGATTCATTGTGTGTACTGGCTGGGTGTTTTTGTAGAATACAATTTTTACACTATATCATCAAGCCTTCTTGTTGATTCATTTTGGTCAAGGGATCACAGTAACCTACCTGGACGCTGATTCATTGTGTTTGTTCTCGTTATTCGACTAAGGTGAACTCGTAATAGTTTTAAGCATACCTAGAGACGAGCGTAACACTACTACGTTGCATCTGACTGACTGACTAACTGACTGACTACATATATAATTAAGTGAAAGTACTATAGTTGATAGTAAGTAGGAAGACAGGTTTGATTACTACTGTCTTCCTACTATCAACTATTGTACTTTTACCTAATTACAAGTAATAGTTAGGGCAATTTTTATTTCATTATATTTCTATGGACTCAGAATAAAATTGCCCTGATTGGCTGAACATTTTCATAGAAAAAAGATAATCATGTATAAGTATAGTAGAGTAGAGTAGAGTAGAGTAGAGTAGAGTAGACAATAAAACCTCGTGATGATAATGATAATGACAACGAATTAATTTGATGAAAAGAACAATATTTATTTATTTACAATAGGAATCAACTTTCATAGTTTAAAGCTTTTACTAGGCTAAAACAAGAAATAAAAAATTACAAATCAATAGGATATAGAACAACAAACAGGTTAGATGTTTTAGATTAGCGGTAATTAAAAAAAAAAAAACATTTCATACTGTTTGCTATAAAACTACTAAAACTGGTTGTTATTATTACATCTAATAGGCTATAGATGTGTTTTGTTATGTTGCTCTGATAATGTGTGTGGTGTTGGTTTACTGGTGGTGTATTGTAGTGAGCCAATCAGAGGTGGTCATATGAGAAGATCACATGATGACAATTTGAAATGTTCTACAAAAGATATATGCATCTCATTGGTCAGACAATGGACTTATTTTCTGAACGGGGAAGGAAGGTTTTTGCCTTATCGTCCAAACTTAGTTTGGGGGAAAACATGTATCACATACGCACCTCGAACATCGACCATCATAAACGCCCGCTTCGATGGAGCGTTTGACTAACTGGTTGACTTCACTCATCATGTCACAAAGTTCAAACTTCAATCAATCAAGTTTAATTTGTTTGCTCAATATGACTTGATTAACATAAATATGTAAACATCGAGACGGTAATTGAGTAATTATGTTACAAACAAGCCAACTGAAATTTTTATACAACTGAGGCAAAAGTATAACACAATTATCGACAGGTTACAGTACGCACATAACTAAGAATCAGTCGTGGTCAACAAATGGAACCCAGTACAGATGTGAATCAGGTACCATATAACATTCAAAGAACAAAGTAGTAGGATAACAAAAAAAACGTTAAACATTGAGAATATGGTTGAAAGCTGTGTATGAAGGAACAATGAGATTCAACAAGTTTCTTAAATAGAAATTATAAGTGTATCTTATTAAACTATACAAGACATCAACTATCAAACTCACTAACCGATATCACATTACCCAAACATGATTAACAGTTGTCTACGCAAAATACTTCGCATTCGTTGGCCAGACACCATCAGCAACAACGAACTTTGGGATAAAACAAACCAGATTCCAGTGGAGGAGTAAATCAGGAAGAAGCGGTGGAAGTGGATAGGACACACACTATGAAAAGCACCTGACTGCGTCACGAGACAAGCCCTCACATGGAACCCTCAAGGCAAAAGGAAAAGAGGAAGGTCAAGGAACACACTACGCCGACAAATAGAGAAAGATATGAGAGGAATGAACAAACATTGGACAGAACTGGAGAGGGAAGCCCTGGTATGAGACTCATCAGTAGCATTGTGCATCCACGACTCTTGCGCACCTCGCAGGATTCGAACGCGGGACCTTCGGTCTTGTACACGAACGCCTAACTTCTGGACAAATATTTTGCAGAAGAAATACAATTTTTTCAAAAATAACAAAACAGAATAAAAATGAAGCTAGTCAATACACCCGCTGACATTACTCACTTTTGAACATGTTACTAGAATATTATTACGAAATCGTAAATGCAAAACTGCTTCAGCATGATGATTGATCACATTTAAACAACATCCAGTAGATAAATCCCATAGACGAACAGTTGTATCACTGGAACCACTGATTAATAAATTCCCAATGTATTGTAAGCATAACACAGAACCTGAATGTCCTTCAAGAACCTTGAAGATTTGAACAAAAAAGAATTGGGATTGAAAATCGGTCAAGATAACAATATCTAAACAAGTTTCTTAAATAGAAGTTTAAGTGTAAGAAAAAATCCAAGGACCAGTTGATGATTCACGTCGTAGAGTGATGATGACTTAGTGACTTTCAATTCATCAGGTTGCAATGATTGAACTCATTCCCCTTTCAATTACCTTGGTGTTACGTATGCCCAACTTCCGAATGCCTCGACGAGCAATGTTTTGTGGTGTAGAAGTAGGTTGGAAAAAAGCTAAAAGCGGCCAAATATAAACATGGTACAAATAGATGAAGCGATTGACAACTGAATTGAGTTATTTTGGTAGGTGTCGACTACCTTGGTAAGGGGCCCGCCAGACGATAGTAATCGATGGTTAAGAGATCTTGAACGACATGGCTCAAAATCGTTTGCATTGGCGCAGGTGCATCTACTCTTTGTGTTCTCTCTAATTCGAACCATCTGAATTCCTCATCACCTTTATCTTCCTCTTTTGAAGTTTATTTCACTGGATTATAATTTGTAAATAATTTCTTTGATCCCTAATCTGTTCGATTACCGATAATACTGTTAATTTGACTTAACGATCTAATCTTTGTGTACTAAAGTGATATGAAAACTTGAACTGGTGTCTGTACGAACAAAGATTCTACGTTGTAGCTGACTGACTACTAACAATAATACCATAAGATATTCATTCGATTAACGTACATGATATTTAATTTGCCTTAATTCATCTTTCAACACCAAATCAAACATAGCATTTAGTGATAAAAATGTATTTTCATATTAGTTGAATAAGCACTGCTTGTAAGACACTATTCATCTGTACAAATAGGATTCCGATGTAGAGAAAGGTTAAGTAAGTGAAAAAAACACTTTTAAACACAATATAATGGAAAGTAGAGAACTTGAGTTGATGATTGTTAAACTAAGACACTATTCCCATGAATATATGATATCGATGTTTTAGACAAAAGCAGTGGGTTTATGGAATAGAACAGATATGATAATATTGAATAAGAGTTGCAAATGAACACATATTGCGTAACGATTACTTATTAGTTCTTTTCAGTTTATTTTACGGATGTGAAACATGGTTATGAAGGGAACAGAGAATATTCATCGGTGATTAGTGTTTGATCATAGCTGTGTTCGAAACACTGCTCATGTATTCTGAGATCAGTGACTGAGCAAGCAATGATGGTGTTAGGAAAATAATAATCGGAAAAAAATCAAGAGTGAATAGATGAAGTAGTGAACATCCATTAATTAAAGCGGTTTCATATATTTTACATACACCCAACCAACAACTCTACCATAATGGACGATGATATCTCACGTAGGGAGCAGAATGGAAGAAAGCTAAGGACGGCCAAACTAAAACATGACACCAGTGCATTAAGTCAATGACCATTGAATTGAGTCATGTTATTAGGTGTACGCTACCTGATTGGGTTGCACACGATTATCTTAACTTTAAATGACATGACTGAAAATCGTTTGCAGTGACGTAAATGTATCCATTTCTTCATCTTTCTCTAAATTCTAACCTTCTGAATTCATCGTAATTTTTCACATATTTACATTTTCTTGAATTGTGTCAATTCGAGTTATAAAGATTGGAGTTGGTAAACACATTTAAATCATCGAACAATCACTATTAGACCACTATAAGAAGCCTGCAAGCAATAAATGGCCGTTTCTTCCTAGTGTGGGACTCATCAGCAGTGCGATCCGCAACTCCTACTACTCACAAGATTCGAACCCAGAACCTTCGGTTGTGCGCGCGAACCCTCAACCTCTGGATCACTGGGCCGCAATCCAAATGTGCTCACTGGTGACTAGCTTGATGGGGAAATTCTCGGGGTTCTAGTGAGAAGACGTGATCAGTGGATTTCGACCCTGTCGGGTGTAAACAGTAACCACCAAAGACAAATGGATGAGGTTGCGCAAAATCCCTAGATCGATCAGATTTTAGACATTAACACCACTGGTTGCCAATTCAGAGGTTAGGCGTTCGCGCGCAGGTTCCGGGTTCGCATCCTGCCAGTAGCAGGAGTCGTGGATGCTCACTGCTGATGAGTCCCACACCAGGACGAAACGGCCATCCAGTGCTTCCAGGTTTCCAATGGTGTTCTAACAATGATTGATTGACGATTTCAATATTCCGATTTATCCATAAAATTAATTTGTATACAAATCTAGATGACAGATTATATTTCGAAGCTTCTCATTGTGTAAATTAATACAAGATTATGTTATGTTCAGATGAGGATTTACCATTCCACCTATACTTCAACAGATTTAAAAACCTTGAAAATCAAAGGACATCAAAGGACTTCATCTTTATTGTATACACAACTGTATTTCCCTATAGAGATTTTAGTATCGAACGAGAAGAAAAATTAAACCGATATCGAATAAACGCAGAAAAGGATTTGGACAACTTACTTGTGTACACTGATAACCATCGGAGCATGTGGCTGCATTAAAACCTTCTTGACTTGGCGCTTCAACAGCCGCTGCTGCTGCAGCTGCCACGGCCACGGCCGCCGCCACTGGAGCTTCACTTCTTCCTCTAACTTTACGCCCAGCTTCATCAGGACTAGGGCTAGTAGTAATATTATTAGTAGTAGAAGGACAATCAGAATTGGATCCTTTATTTTTATTAATTGTACAAATATTTGGTATTCTTTGCCATACTTTAATAGTATCATCTCTTAGACCGCTAACAATTTTATGCTTATCATATTGAAGACAATAAACACCTTTTGTAACATCACTTCGACATGGTATCCGAGTTAAATGATATTGACCACGAGTCCAATTATCTTCGACACGCTGAACAAACGAAGGAAAAAATAAACATCCATAGTGAATAATTTTGACAAAACTAAGCCATGAAATCACAATGAATAATAATATAGAACTAGATTAACGCTCAAAATTTACCTAACAACAATCATTGTCAACAGATGAAGACTTATAACAGGTGAGAATGATCATTGTAATCAAAAGAGTTGAAAATTTTGATCGATTACAATGTTGCAAATGTATTGGCTCACATGTTCTTATCGACCATTAATTTTTTATTAGTTTCTTATGAAAATACATTTTCACTAAGTCGATTTGAATCATCTATTCGCAATGTTTAAGTCTTTTTTTTAATAATCCTTTTTAATGTATACACATTACTCCAGCATTTGCACTACCATTTATCTTACTGTGTTGCTAATGGTATGGTAACATGGTCAGTTAGCTAGGACACGTAGGACAACATGAATACGACGAATATAAGTTCAAGTGGCCATACCATATTTATTAGCACAGAGATGTAATTGTCACTTCAAATCTCATAGTGGTTGGTAGAGGTACTAGAAATATTAGCGGTAACGAAGAAGATTAAGATTCAAAGATATTATTATTCAGGAAGTAAAATAAATTTAGAAGGAGAAAGATAGAGGTGATGAAGAATTCAAAAGGTTAAGATTTGAAAGAACACAATGAATGAATGCACCTGAGCCACTGTAAATGATTTTGAGCTATCTCGTTCAAGTTCTCTAAGCATCGAATACTATAATCTCGCTGACCACAACCATGTATCCTACATCTACCAAGATGACTCAGTCCATTTGTCAGTGAATTCATGAATTTCTGACATGTTTTGGTTTGGCCGCCACTAGCTTTCTTCCAACCTACTCCTACACCACAAAACAAAGCTCGTCGAGGCAGTCGGTGGTTAAGCATACGCAACACATATCCCAATCAACTCAACGGATAAAGTTTCAATACTTCATCTATTGACCAGCCATCCTTACTTAGCACCCGTTTTCTAACAACTCGATTGCCTACTCAGTAGTCCCACAATACACGAGCAATGCTTCCGAGACAACTATGATCGAAAACAACCAACCTACGAATAGCTTCAACTCTGATCGGCCATATTCCAAAACCACAAAAGTAGGACGGAGTGCACTATTGCGCAGTATCGAGTTCTAGGTAAGAATGGCAGATCAATAGATGAAGTAATGAAACTTCATCAGTTGAGGTGGTTGGGACATGTGTTACGTATGCCTAACCACCGACTGCCTCGAAGAGCTTTGTTTTGTAGTGTAGGAATAGGTTGGAAGAAAGCTAGGGGCGGCCAAACCAAAACATGGCAGAAATCCATGAAGTCACTGATAAGTGGACTGAGTCATGTTGGTAGATGTAGACTACCTGGTTGGGGTCCGCGAGATGATAATAATCGATGTTTAGAGACCTTGAACGACATGGCTCAAAATCGTTCGCAATGGCGCCGGTGCATTTATTCTTTGTGTTCTCTCAAATCCTAATCTTCTGGATTCTTCAACACCTCTAGTTTTGACTTTCTAGACTTTTCTCATTGAATCATACTTTTTGAATAATATCTTCTAATCCTAACCTCTTCGATTACTTCTAATACCTTTACTACTACCTCTACTACTATTGGATTCGAATTGACAATTACATCTCTGTGCTAATGTAAGTATGGCGACATGAACTGATGTACTTACGTACGAAGTTCTACGTTGCAACTGACTGACTGACTACTGCGCAGTACACTCGTCCTTTAGTCAGCAAACAGATTAAAGTACACTCGTCCTACTCCTACACCATAAAACATCACTCGTGGCCATCGGTGGTTAGGTATAAATTAATTATAACCAACTGATTGATAACCACTGAAAGTTTACATTTTAAATACTTCGCATCGACTAATGGTAATAGTTTATGAGCAAAATCAATATGCATCAACAACATTCACACACTATAATTTTTTTCTTATCTCCACAATGTACTGGACACATGAAGAATACAACAACAACGACAACAACAACAACCCTAACCCAATAGAAATATCTACAGAATATGAATGAATGATTTAGTTTGGTTAGTTAGTTTTTTCTGTCAATTGAACAGTACAATGCAAACTATGACGCAACAAACACGTGACGTAACCGTTGAAATGGAATACAACAAGTAAGTGTCTAGACAGAAATAAATATTTATCACAATACATATACATATCACTGCATATTTATTTGGTTAAAAAAAAAGGTTTAGTAGTACCAAGGTAAAACAAAAATGTGAAAAAAAATACTAGTCAGTATTTATTGATGTCGTTAACTAGAATGAAAAGAGATTGGGGGAAAGCAAATATCAGCCTGGCATTTCATTGTATCACACTATTGGATTAAAAGAGACGAAATGAAAATAACAGTAGAGATGTGGTTCTCATCTAGTTGGAAGAGAAAAGAAGAAATAAAAACTGAACCTATAAAATGTGATAAACTAAGAATTCACTACATAAAGTTGAATGATAATATTATGAAGAAATGAAAGAGCATTCCGCTTATACCACAAACATTGGGATTGAAGAACTCATGTGTTACAACACTACATAAATTGATACAATAACCCAAGTACATGACAGACAGACAGACAGACAGATACAACACAGAACTTCGTTCGTACGTAAATCAGTTCAGGTTACCATACCATATTAGTACAGAGATGCAACTCTAAGTTCGAATTCAAGAGTGATAGCGATAGTAGAAGTATTAGCAGTAATGGAGAAGATTAGGGAGCGAAGATATGATTCGAGAAAAATAATTTGATGAGATAAATTTAGAAGAAACATAGAGATTATGAGGAATTCAGATGGTTAGAATTAGAGAGAACACAAAGAGTGGATCCACCTGCGCCATTGCAAACGATTCTGAGCCATGTCGTTCAAGATCTCTAACCATTGATGACATTCGTCTCGTCTCCACTTGTCAGTGACTTCGTGGATTTATGCCATGTTTTGGTTTGGACGCCCCTAACTTTCTTTCAACCTACTCCTACACCACAAAACATAGCTCATCGCGGCAGTCGGTGGTTAGGCATTCGTAACACATGTCCCAACCACCTCAACTGATGAAGTTTCACTACTTCACCTATTGATTTGCCATCCCTACCTAGAACTCGTTTCCCAACGATAGCATTGCTTACTCGGTCGTCCCAGGATATACGAGCAATGCTTCGGATACACCTATGATCGAAGACTAGTAACCTACGAAAGTCCTCTACTCTTAACGTCCATGTTTCGCATCCGTATAGTAGGACGGAGCGAACTGCTGAACAGTACATCTCGCCTGCGCCATAGGTGACGCAGGTCCAAGTACATGAAGCTTTAATTATCTCCAACAACTTACTACAGAGACTGTGTGTACAGTTATGGGCTTCTAATCAGAAAGTACTACACTGACACTTGCGGAATAATTCTAAAAATTGAACCATTAAACTAAACATTACAGAATTTATTCACCCGAACCACCGGTCGTCAATTCAACATGTAAATGTAGTGCATAGTGGTTAACTCTTGAACTGCGGCAAGTCTGCTCGCCCTCGCCAGATACTCTCATAAAACCACGAGTATCAGGAAGATCCTACTTACTGCTTTCTCTTGGTAAATGTGTTGTTTACAAAAGTGACAGAATGAAAAGCGTGCCCCGTCGGGGGTCAAACCGGGTTGGCTGGTATGAAGGCTTGACTTGGGATAATTGGAAAACCCTCACTTTAAAATAATGACGTCAATGGGCTCCAAGATCCTGATAGAACGAATGGCGTATGCCTCTACTCTTGGCCACTAACTGCCAAAGGACTGTACCACCTAACACTGCTCTGCTGCTGCCTGGATTAGATCTATTGATTAAAGCCTCAGAGAGTGGTCTACTAAGTAAACCAGGTAGTTTGGTTTGGGAACCCGAACGATGTGCTAACTCAATGATTTTTGTGGCACAAAGATATTTAGGTGCCCTCTTTGTACCAACATTTATGTGTTTATACAAATAATTAGATCAGTAAATAACATTACAAAGAACGGACAAAGACGGACAAATATGGCTTCCCATAAAACAGGTGTTGTTGACGAAAGCGAAAGAATGAAAAGCCTATGTCCAGAGCCTTAACCGAGTTGGTCATTCAGTTACAACGTAGAACTTCGTATGTGCATGCATCAGTTCATGTTGCCATACAACATTAGCACAGAGATGCAACTGTCACTTCAAATCCTATGACAGTCCGCCATAAGCTCTAACTCGATAAGTAGTGTTCGAGTTAGTGGGCATGGATGATCCACCTAGGTGAACCGAGACACTCTAATTCCCAACTAATGATGTACATGGCTCGAGGATCCTGATTGAACAAATGGTGCATAAACGTTTTGTCGGTTATCAGCTTCCATGGAAGAGTATCTCCTGATGTTGCTCCACTGTCTTCAGGATTAGACCGTTGGACTGATGGATCGAAGAATGGCTCCTTAAGAAAACGACCTGTTTCAGTTTGAGAACTGAGACAGAATATCAGTGGCTAATAATAAGCAGTGAGGTGCCCCTTTGGACCAACAAATGTGTTTAAAAATATAATAAAGGAATAACACGCCTATTTACGTGTAGCAAATACAAAAGCACTTGAACATCTGGACTACCTGTTTCCTAACATCAAAATATTTTAACAAGTTACCTCTCTCTGTGTTGGTATGTTCTAACACGTCAATTATGTCTACTAAACGCATAATATATATTCAGGTGCATACATAAAAAAGTTTACGACTTATCACTTCACAAGTTACAAAAAAAGTACAATCCGAGACATTATGATGATTGTCAATCTTGTTTTCAAAAGAAAACTTGCTAAAATATTTGCGCTAAGAATCTCTATCTTTCTCCCTGTAACTTTATCTCACTGAAGGATACGCTAATCTTCTCCATTACTGCTAATACTTCTACTATCGCTACCACTAAGGGATTTAAATTGACAGTTGCGTCGCTGTGCTAAAGCGATATGGTAACCTGATCTGATGTACATACGTACGAAGTTCTGTGTTGTATCTATGTCTGTCTGTCTGTCTGAACATCTGGAACATCTGTTTCCTAACATCAAAATATTTTAACAAGTTACCTCTCTCTGTGTTGGTATGTTCTAACACGTCAATTATGTCGATTAAACGCATAATATGTTTAGGTGCATACAGTCAGTCAATCAGGCAGTCATTTACAACGTAGAACTTCGTACATGAGTATATAAGTTTAGGTTGCCATACCACATCAGCACAGAGACGCAACTGTTAGTTTAAATCCCATAGTGGTAGACATAGTAGATGTATTAGCAGTAATGGAGAAGATTAGGGTTCGAAGATATGATTCGAGAAGTATAATTCAGTGAGATAACTTAAAAAAGTGAAAGACAGAGATGGTGAATTCAAAAGATCATAATTTGAGAGAACACAATGAATGAATGCACCTGTGGTGACATTGCAAACGATTTTGAGCCATGTCATTCAAGGTCTCTAACCATCGATTACTATCATCTTGCGGACCACAACCAGGTAGTCTACATCTACCAACATGACCCAGTCCACTTGTTAGTCAGTCAGTCAGTCAGTTGCAACGTAGGACTTCGTACGTAAGTACATCAGTTCATGTCGCCATACCACATCAGCACAGAGATGTAATTGTCAATTCAAATCCAATAGTGGAAGAGGTAGTAAAGGTATCTGGAGTAATCGGAGAGGTTAGGATTAGAAGATATTATTCAAGAAGTATGATTTAATGAGAAAAGTTTAGAAAGTCAAAACTAGAGGTGTTGAAGAACCCAGAAGATTAGGATTTGAGAGAACACAAAGAATAAATTCACCGGCCCCATTGCGAACGATTTTGAGCCATGTCATTCAAGGTGTCCAACCATCGATTATTATCATCTCGCGGACCCCAACCAGGTAGTCGACAATTACCGACATGGCTAAGTCCACTAGTCAATGACTTCATGGATTTCTGCCATGTTTTGGTTTGGCCGCCCCTAACTTTCTCCCAACCTATTCCTACACTACAAAACAAAGCTCGACGAGGCAGTCGGTGGTTAGGCATACGCAACTCATGTCCCAACCACCTCAACTGATGAAGTTTCACCACTTCATCTAGTGATCTGCCATTCTTACCTAGCATCCGATTCCTAATAACAGCGTTGCTCACTCGGGTGTCCCACGATATACGCGCAATGCTTCGAAGACACCTATGATCGAAAACCAGTAACCTACGAATATCTTCTACTCTCACTGGCCATGTTTCACAGCCATAAAGTAAGACGGAGCGAACCACTGCACAGTACACTCGTCTTTTAGTCAGCAAACGGATATCTCGCCTACGCCATAAGTGACGCAGGTGACTTCACAAGTTACGAAAAAAAGTACAATCCGAGACAGCATGATGATTGTCAATACTTTTTTTTGTAAAGAACACTTGCTCTCTGAGAATTTCATATTTTACCAAACAAAGCTATTCTAATCGTAAGTATGATTATTATCATTATTAATACTATCACTACTACTATTAAACGACAATACCTAGATTATAATGAAATAAAAAGGTGGCGGAAGAAAGTTATGTATACACACACACAACAACAACAACCACAACAAACAAGCAAAACTTACTGCAATATCACGAATTATACGAGGATAAAGTTGTTTATAGAAACGATGCGCAAACATCACTGTCTCATAAGACAATGAATCGTGTAAATCTGTCTCCATAGAAAATGAAGTCGGATTCACATAACGATGATTTGATCCATCTGTTGTTGAATTGTATGGGCTTAATGAACAACTCGGTACGTTAGATGCATCAGTTATGGAATCTCTTGAAAATGGGATACTTTGAGCTCGTGATACTACATGGGAATGTGTATCAGTAGGATAGATAAATGAATTTTGCATGTCTAAATGACATTGACACGCAAGAGATTGTTGTCGATTTACACTGATAGGTGATTCTAATTTCGGAGAAAGTTTAGATGCTTCACATTCCATACAAGAACTAGTATCAAGGAATGGAGAGAATTCGGTTAGTTTATGCCGAACACCTATAGGAATCCGACGTCTCTCGAGTAATGCAGGTAAATAAGCTGGATCCGAATGATCGATAAATTCAATCCATCCTCTACGTTCACATAAACCATGCCAAACTGGATCAGTAGCTACACGACAAGCTAATAGACGACGCCAAAGTTGATATTTTGCAACACTCCATTGCCATCCTCTTGAAGCAAGTTCAACTGAAAGTAGACTGGATGCATCAAGTTGGACTAAAATCATTTCAGCAATATAGGGGACACCACGATCTAAAGGGAAGTTATTGAGAAAAAAAATTCAGAAACAGAATGATTGTCTAAATGACTGGCTAACTTATAATCTATTCACACTAACTGTGTCAAAATCATTGAACATGCGTCTTTACCAAATATCTTTTTGTAAATATACCTACATTTGGACATCATAAGTTATGTGAATTCTCTCTACAGAGTACAACTAGTAAAAACACCAACAAAGAATACTAGATATCTATATCTTACTAATAAACGATCAAATAATGTGGACTAATATTAGTCACTATTATAATCCAGGATTTGATTGTGACCAATTTGGTCTTGTGTGCTGTTACGGGTATGATGGCGAACGTCACACCCATAACGTGGGTGTTTCTTGAGGAACCTGAAAAGGAAGCTAGATTAGCGTTGGTCTTAGACACCTGGAAGAGTGAGCACATAGTCAAAGGAACAACTGCTTAAGGTCGGTCACGCACGGGCTTTTTATGAGAAGAATTTAAAGTGTTAGCTTTGCTCTTGTTTAAAAGATCTTACAGCCGGAGACGGAAATCCGTGAGGTAAGGTGACGTGTGACATTTTAGGGTTGACCTTTTCTAACCCTCTCGTTCCTTGTGAGAAGGCAGCATTGCTGCAAATGCTAGTTATCCGAGGGAAACACCTTGCTGCTATCACACCTTTCTACAGTCAACAGTTCAACTTCACCTTCAGATCTTGAGTAACTGCTTTTAGTCTCATCGTTCTCCAATCAACCTGCCTGGCATGGTAGGACCTACAGGAACATGTGTTCCAGCCGATATAGCTCGTGGTTGAGTCATCACGATAGACTAACCTGACCACCACGTCAGCTGGCGATGGAAGCTATCATGAAATTTTCGAAGCCTTAATAAACCACATAATTAATAGAACTTTTGATAAACAGGTTTGAAGTAACTGATTCAGAATGTCATCAACAAGTTTGATCAATCATATTCAAAATTCAACTACTAACAAATGATAGTCTAACACTAGCTATGAAATTTCTACTCGTACCTCCTGATATGAAATTCAAAGAGTTTCAAATGGTCGATTAGAGCGGGTGATAATATTAAATCCGCATTTACCTCAAGACCTGACTTGATTCTCTACTCTAGTGACTAAAAGGAACAACGTGACTAGTAGGTTAAGTGATAAAGTTGATATGTTATAATAGATGCATAGAGTAACAGTATTCAAATAATGTTACATTACAAACACATGTTTATTTATAAATATACACATTTTGCAGATTTGCTTACTTTGAAGTGCAACAATAAAATCACGCTTCAGGAGAGGTTCTAGGAAATCATTAATTTGACTTTGTTGAAAGTGAGAAATTTTCGACAGCAAGTTACATATAAAGTCAACTTGCTCGCTAGTCGACCAGGAAGTAAATGTATCAATGCAATTCTTCTTCTCCATAGAAATTGATGAACTGTTATTATTATTATTATTATTATTATGTAAGCGTTTTTTCTTTTGGTCTACAGGTGTGCCAGTATCAGACGACGGTTTCGACCGTTTGATATTGGAAATGCAGGTACAATGAACCTTAAATAATGAAGGCAACATTTTAGATTAAGACAAAAGCACAAAGGTAAAGTCACAATGAATTATATAGATTATGCGTGGTGCTTCCATTTATATTCTGTCGAGCAACACTATGCGAAAAGTATGGTTTCAGGGTCAGGAAGATGTTGGTTCTAGTGAAAACAACCTTATTGTGATAAGCACGAAGAAGGCGAAGCAATGAGTAGTAGAGTTCAGAATCACATCGACTGAATTACTACGAACTTTTACTCAATACTGATCAATACTAGTTACAAGGTTACACAATATTTCAGTAATGAGTCAAAAATACCTACGGTCGAAGACTCAAATTACGTGTCTTTCAGTTGCACAGACTATACTCCATACCTGGAAAAGTGGGAAAATGATCCGTATAGACAAATGGACAGATCAAACAATGAGCAAACTACTCAAAGAGTTCACTCTATATCATTTCATGGCTATGAAGCTTCGTCTATGAAAGCAGAAGCCAAAAGTAGTCTACCGGTTCTTGATCATAGGTGTCTTTGGAGCACTGCTCATGTCTCGTGAAACAAATGAGAGAGTAATGCAGGGACTAGTCACAGCCAATAAATCGGTTGATGAGGTTGGGAATCTCTATTTAGTGAGATAGTACGTGTTACGACTGCTTAACCCAACCTGTGACGATGGCTGGTTTATGAGCAAGTTGGGAAAAAACTAGGGGCGGTAAAACCAGGATTTAGCATTAGCCCACGAAGACGACTGTTGATTCGAGTCATATTAGTAGTTGCATATAACCTGGTTTGAGTCCGCGAAAACACTGCTAATGGCGGTTCTAGACTTTGAGTGAAACTGTGTGGGATCCTTCACAATGGAGTCAAAGTATCCTGTCTTTCCTTCTCGCTGGATTTCAAATTTCAGAAACCCTTCACATATACCTTTCCATGAGAACCCCATTCCCAATGCTTAGTTTGGCTAGTTATTAATGGTGCTATATTACTACAACGGCTTTCATTACTTGTCTTGTAAATTTTATTTCGTTGAACAAATAAGGTATGGAAACTTGGGTTAAAGCATACCTCTGCCACGTTCAGCGCTGACAACGACTGACTAAAATCAATGGTAGCTCTGAAAGTATGTCCATGATGAAAATAGTTTCCCCTGGTAACAATACACTAAAATATGAGAACAAAGCACTTGTTAACTGGATACTTTAAATATATGGTTGTTACTGAGACTGTATAAGGTACGAGACTTTGTAACTTCTTAATCCACCACGGCTCCTTGGTTACGGTCTAAGAGGATGTAGCACGGTCGCCTGAGACAATATCAGAGATGGTGCAGAAGAGAAGTAAACGAGAGGTTTTTTTGTAGTTTTTCCTTACACTTCATGAAATTGAGATCTGAAGATGGAGAAAACTCCCCGGCTACATTTTTTAGACTACCAAAATCTGTGTTTGCTTACTTCTGTTATTTTTCACTGGACTGTAATTAGCCTCCTTTCTTCATTCCTTCACAATCTTAGTTTCTTATTTATGCGAAGTATATGTATAATTTGTGCAAATGTGTTCATTAATCAGTCAGTCTGTCACAACCCAGAACTTGGTACGTAGGAATATCAGTTCAAGTTGCTATACTACATTAGCACAGAGATCGAATTATCAGTTCAAATATCATAGTAGTAGATGTAGCAGCAGTATTAGCACTGACTGAAAAGACTGGGGTTCAAAGATTTGATTCGAGAATTATAAACAAGTGAAATAAATTTAAAGAGAAAACGTCATGAAGAACCAGATTAGAACTTGAGATGGATGCATCAGTGTCTAGATAAATAATAACTCCTGATTAAGTGTTACTTTTATGACTGTTATACGAAAATACTTGACTGTCATACAGTGAGTGTCACGACATTCCTTCGCGAAAGATAGGAAACTAAAGTTAGTAACATTTATGTTCTCGAGTAGACGAACAGCCATAATTTCAGCACACTAATTTATGTAGTACTTATCAGGAATGGAAGGTATTTTCATCCACAACGTTTTTAATCATGCACTCTCTTCAGGAGACAATAAGTTGCTGTTGTGCACGCTTGAACTGCAAAATCTCTTGTGTTGTTGGAAGCATAAGGGACGTCGTCACTTATTGGTTCCTAAATCATAGGACGATATCTCTTTTGCCACACTATCAAGTCTCCACCTCGTGACAAAAGTTCGGACTAGAAATCAGGACATACTAGTCGGGAACCAATGAACTGTTGAATAATTTGACAGTAGTCAAAATGCCTTATTAACGATAAATAACATCACCTAAACATAACTTGACTAAGGCGAACATAAACGGGAAGTTGCGCAAGTTATGGACTTCATACTGGCCACATGAAACTAGCTTGGCAACACTTAAATTATCCCAAATGGAGTGAGTGATACCTTTCGATCATTGACTAGTAAGGTTAAGAATAAACGTTGTATGGAAATACACGATTTTAACAGTCAAACATTCAGCTAGAACGTAGAATTCCGTACGTACCATATTTACACTAACAGTTTGAGCTGTCAATTCAAATCCTATGGTAGTACAGGTAGTAAAAGTATTGAAGAATAGAGATTAAGGTTGGAAGATATAAATACAAAAACACCGCCAATGTGGAGGCAACGAATGATCCACGTTATGACCATGTTAATAGGTAAGAAATATCTAAACCTCAAAAAATGACGAAAGGGTGGAACAAGTTACGTTTCTTGAATCTCTAACATCAACATTTGTATTATTTGAGCAATGGAGCACAAAAAGTCAGAGTGACGCAATTATTTTCACATTGCTTCCAATATAATTCGACCATACATAAAATAGCTTCTACGAGTCTGAGGAATCGATACAAAACTGGTTGGATCGTTCAGAACGTACATTTTTGATAAATCTGTAGAGATTAATACGAATAATACCAGGTTTAAAAGTCTAAAAAGTACTTTGAAATTACGAAAGACCTAGGCTTAAGAAAATTACAATTACATTAAGTTGTAATCTAAACTGACAGTACGACTCAACCTAATTTAATATACCATATATATCATTTTCTACAAATATTTACAAGTAATGCAGTGCGGCATTAAGCTTCTCATATGTTTGCTTACGTTTTCTGATAAATCCCGACAATTTTCACACCCTCGGTCAGAGCAAATATCTCTATACTGACCAGAGAACATAATCCTATAAAAAGCGCAACTTTCAAGTTGTGCAACTAAACAAAGTCCACTGCGCTTCTTTCAAATTTTCGTGGATCAGATGCTCTGTAAAGAAACCCCATGGAACAATACAATTTTAGAAGTGCGAAAAAACTGAAAGCAAAATTTGTAGTATCACTGAGATCTTTTTCTAAGAGGGAAAGTTCAACTGTGGAGTCAGCCAGAATATAGGGAACAAGGTACCACTAATGTTCCTTAATAAAACTCCACACTTTTCAAAGTCTGGAAACATCGCTGGAGACTCAGTGGTCAATTTCATTTTGTTCCTCAAGAGTGCTTACATTACTGAGGTCTTAATCCTTCCAACGGATTTTAGGGTCAGTAAATAATGGAAATTGAAAATCGACTCCTCTTATTTCAGGCAATGATAGGCTAAAAATTTTCATAAAAATTATAGACGAAGTAGATAATCAGCAAGCGCATGTTGGCCGTAATACCTTCGAAAGGTTCTCTTCATCATGTACTCTATAAATTAGACTGGTTTCGACTTCGATGGTGGTCCCCATTGTTAAGTCCTGAACTAGCTATATGATCAGTAGAAATATGTTTCGAAGATTTTCCAGTCATCTCAAGCTGTCAACAACCTTATACTGGTAAATGGCCCCATAAAATAGATAGCTCGGTAATAAACTGATGCTGCTGTTGACCTTGCCAACTTAGACTGGCTCGTGAAACGTTTCCCTCGATGTGAATAAGCAGTTTGCAAAATTCAAGTTCTCTCACTTCTACCTATATTAAGGTTTATTTTTCCTCAGAATGATCACCATCTTTGTTCACGTTTGCCAGAGACTTGATCAATGCAAGCTAATTAAGAAACATTATCGTCTGATTTCGTTTTACCTAAACCATTTTCATGTAAAACGTTTTGACTGGTGGATCTGACAATCTGATGATCTGAAGAATATTGTGTTTGTCTGATCTCTTAATATGCACACATTTTAAACACACATACTCTTCTATATTTATATATTTATCGTCAAATGGTTACCTAAAAACCTCGAGAAATTAACCAAGTAAGCCAATTACTTTGTACTCACAAAAATCTACTTCTTTATAACAGATGTGTATCCTAATATTGGCTAGGACAGACACAAGGTTTCAGGGACGCTGGAATTTCTGTCATGTTAATTAAGGCGACGATGGAACTACCTACCTTAATCAAACACCTAATAACCAACAACTTCAGTAAATGTGAAGACTGAAGCGTCTAACAAACTAAAATAGTCTTGATGCATTATGTATACTTGATGAACACTCAGGAATATTCAGACTTTAAAGCAAAGAATGTGATTGATCATGTTCGATCAGCTAATGTCGGTCACGCCATTATGTTGAAATTATTGGTTTTTATTTTGGACGTTTAGAGATTTCAGCTGATGATACCTGTCAGTCAGTTTCCTCTTGCTCTTTTTGTTCTGAGCTTGGTTTCATATTTGTGGTTAGCGCTAAACAGTTGGGTGAAAATGCGAGAGAATAAACATGTTCTTAATGCTTCGAATCAATCCAGAGCACGTTTTGATTCTACGCTATGTATTCAGTCAAAACCATATACTCTTAACGAACTAACTTCTGCGGTGTCTGATACAGACATATTCAATTACACGCCACCCCTTAATCGGTTGAGAACACAAAATCTGACCTACTGTTAGAGTGTCAGGTTATTGTGTCAGTTCAGTTTGTTAACTTGTACTTGAGTGACTGGATGATCCGAATACCTTCTGTGTATCACATCATGCATTATTAGTTTGCCGTTCTTCGTGTTATTTATTTTTAATAAAAGGTGTTGATAGTAAGGCGCTCAGTATAAGCTGTGACTTTGAAGAACATTTTCGTGTGTTAGGCGTATATGAAGAAGCTCCATGGTTGATGATTGATGATAAGGCTCCGAAAAGACATAAAAGATAAAAAAAGGGCAGCAAGAGAAGCAGTACTCTTACACAATATGGTATCAAATAAGGTGAATTACCATTATGACCACACATGGCCATAATATCTGCAGTAAATGTTTCTCTAAGTCCTAGTGTGTAAGCTAAGTTGACTGAAGAAAGTTAATGATGGAAGATTCAAGCTCATGATTTTTAGTATAGTTGTCCAGACCAGCTTGTAATAGGATTTCTCGGTAGGAAGTAAAAACCAGTGCAAGGTTACAGACCTGAGTTGACGACGAGGTTAACAAGGAAAAGTAACATCAATATCACTGATTTGTTACATCCTGCTATATATATCAGTCAGCGCGTACTTTGAAGGTTGTACCTTTTTTCACGTGTATTTTCTTTTTCGCTTTCCGATCTTTTTACCCTAGTTCAACGGTACATATTAACTCATCTCTTACAAATTCTCCTCGGTTATTCTTATTTTAGTAATTTTCGCTGTAGTTTTTGGCTTCATAATTCCAAACAGACATTGTGCCTATAGTAACACAACTCTGCTTACAAATAATTCCACAAAGATGTCACGTTTATCTAAAAAACACTTGATTTCACCTGTCGAATATAACATCTGTAAAAGATCCAAATCAGCTACTAAATTCGATAAAATCAAACGTAAGAACATTGCTCCATCCGTATCTTATTCTGATCTCCCCACTGGCTCAATAGAATCTTACCGTGAACTTGTAAACGACTTCTCTTTACCGTGTATCCCGCTCGTTGATATAAACACAACTCACCTCCTTCCGAGTGACTCGACACCATCCACTACTTCTTGTGTTCCATCTGAAATAGACTCCTGTGAGCACTTGGTAGAAAGTGTGGCTGGTCTTAAACATTTGACGAGCCCGCAAGCGGATCAAATTCATAGCAATCCGAAAAATGTCTCTAGGCCTTTTTGCCATAGGATATCCAGTACTGTTGATCTGGACTGTTCACTTTCTGATATGTTCATAACTTCGGATGACTTTACGCAGACTGAGCAACCGCAAAACACTTGTAGCAAGTCTGTTCATCATCCTATTCGCCTTAACAGCTGTGACCTGAACTCCAATAGATTCCCCACTATTAGCTCTGAGGACACCTTAAGTGCATTCGATATCAAGCAAACCATTCAGGATTTACTACCTTATAAATACCTGGTCAGTGTTCCAGAAAATCCTGATCTCGATATCATTAAAAAAACGGAAATAGTAATTGACCACATATCCTCTGAAGTGTTAAAAAGACTTCAGTGCATGCAAAATGCCATTGTTTATAACGTACCTGACAGTGCTAGCCTCAATTCTGTTAAAAACACTCTCCTTAAAGAGTGTGGATTGTCCGGCTCTTGGTGCGTAGCACGCAGGCTTCGTAAAATTCAGTCTAAATATTCCTGTCCCATTCTTCTTCAATTTAGTACTGTCATCGAAGCCAATCACTTTATTAACAGTCAGTCACTGCTTAGACACATTCCTTTGTTTAAGAAGATTAGAATTATCAGGGATAGAACTACTATACAGCGCCGTATCACCAATGGCCCTTCAACTATGCCGGTCGATTCGTGTACTAGTAGCAGCGCCAATCATGAACGTCGCATTAACCCTACTATACCCAACTCCACCCCTCCTAAAACGGAGCACAGATCCAAAGTGACTATTAGTCCGAAGACCTGTCCCCTGAACAAAAGTGCTGCCACTTGTCCCGTAGTCAAAAGCCCATCTACATGTAAACCACAGGTCAATCGCACTTTTGTAATACATAAACATTGTCCTAAAGATAAAGGGACAGACCTAGTGGTTCGAAATTCCCACAAGAGACGTGCTACTCGCCCTAACCGTCAGTCTGCAGTACTTAACATACCTAATAAACAACAATGCCTGCCCCCTACCTCTCCTACTCGGGACGCCACTATACTTCTAAAATTGAAACCTAGGACTCCTGAGAATACGGACACTCATACCATAAATACCTCCCTAAACTCTAACCGTAGGCGCCTCCCCGTTTCCAACCCAAAGCCTTTACCGTTGATTGCGTACAAAAAGACTAGGATGCCTAGAGTTGCTGAGATAACTCGTAACACTAGCCTGCTTGGGCATCCGCCTAATGTTCCTAGACACCACCCTAGCCGTAATTCCTTTTGCAATTCTTCAGTCTCTCCAAAAAATGTACCTAACCCTTTTTTAACGCTCACCCCCTCAACAGAGTTGTTTTTCTACCTCCAGCTGTTGAGGGCGATATTTCCCCCTCCTTCAAGTCATGCTTTGCATTCTGTGATGTAATGGATGACAATCGATCTTTGACTCTGTCTTCCCCTTCTAGCTGTAATACCTTTATGTCTGGTCCTTTTGTCAAACCACCTTTCACATTGTCCAAAGATTTGACTAACTCCACTATACCTTATCCAATGGACTTACGAAACGATCCACCCTTATGCCCCCTAGCGACTTCCTCATCTGTTCTTTGGGAGTCATCAGTTAACTCTGACGAACAACACTTATCATTTCCTACCTCACATGTTTCTCTCACCATGCCTGTCTCTGAATACCTTTCTCCCTCTAACTATATCGCTCCCAAACTAACTGATCATTACAATCAAGCCTATATTCCTACTCCCAGACCTTCTTTAGAACACACACCATACAACCCTCCAGATGCCCATCGTGCATCCCTGAAAGATGAGTATTCGTCCTATGTTACACTAATGCTAATTAATTCCCGATCTGTTATCAATAAGATTACCCACTTACGCTCTCTAGTACATCTAAACAATCCTTCCATTGTCCTGATTACAGAAAGCTGGTTGTCCTCCGATGTCCCTGACTCATACCTTCTAATAGACTCTTATGAACTCTTTCGCGGTGACCGAGGATCTAAAAAGGGTGGTGGTTGCCTCATCTATGTATCTAAAGACATCAAAGCAGAAATGTTTTATGATACTGTTCTTAATCAAGTGCCTGATTCGATATGGCTGACTGTGCACGCCCATGAATGTAAAATACTGGTTGGATGCATATATCGAGCTCCAAACACTCGTCGATCGGTTGACGTTGCTATTGGTGAGTCGTTTGCCAGGGCTGCCTGTCTTAAATTCACCTG